TTTTTTTGTAAGTGTGGAGTGATATTGTTGGGCTGTATGACTTTGCATAGCACCCCAAGACTCCATTCCACAATAAGCCATACCTTAAACATATGGCACGAATGGCTATTTCAGCTACTCTTGTTCCAGAAACCTCTTTGCTTAGTTCCTGGAAGTCGCACTTAATCAGTGGAATAGTGTATGTTGTGCTTGAACCTTCTCTTATGAATTCATTATCTACATCTGCTCTACTAAAAACTTTCCAAGAGCTGTATTGTTTTAATATCTTATTCCAGTTTACAGACTGCAGAATAATTAAAAATTATTCAAAAACGTTTTTGAATGCATCTGAAAACTGCCTACAGATTGAGAAGCAAAGGTGGAAGACTATTTCAGAGGAAGATGAACTGTTATGAATGAGGTCAGATTTCTGTCATCTGGTCGTCTTATGAAAATCACAGTTTACTCTATAAGATGCGTCATCTTTCATGGAGATGATGTAAAAAAGAAAGCACTTCAGGGCTTTCTGAGAGCAAAGAGACTATGAATGCAATGGAGATTAGAGCAAAAAAGCACTGAAATGTCCCCTCCTTTAGCAAAGAGCTGCCCAGCCTCTGAGTGGTTGGGGGCTACATGCTGCCTGGGCCATGGGTCCTCCACGCTGACCTGCTGAGCCATGCCACTCTGCCCCTTGGGCTGGGGACAGGAAGTGGAAGGTGGGGGAAGGAGGGGAAGTCCAAAAACACCAGCAGCAACAGAACTATTGGGGAACAGTGCCGGTGAGTGAATTAACCACTAGGGGGGCACATGTGGCCCAGCAGCCCTGCCCTACCAGAAGAGAATACTTCAATCCACTGTGGTGTACTCCAGCGGTTATATAGTCACATAACAACCACTTAATGTGATCTTTATACATATCTTTCAAGAGGAAAATCTTCAAAGGCTAAAGATATGAAATACATATTTGACTTTCAACTCAGTCCAAGATGGAAGGAAGAAAACCTGTAGGAAGATTAGAACCCCACGCCCCTCCCTTATGGGTAAGGGAGAATAGAGTAAGATTTCAAGCCAGAGTGTCTTATTTTATTTTTTTATATAAAAGTAGAGAGAAGCTTTCTATCCAAAAGGGGGGAGAAAAAAATTTCTTATGAGGCTAGTATTGAATATTTTGAGAGAGCTTTTCAAATTCTGGTAATTTTTTAAAGCATCTTGAGGATTTTGGGTAACTCCTAATCATAACTTTTAACATTTTACACAGTTTCTACAGAGGCTTTTGAAGTCTTGTGGTCTGGGTTGTACTTATCCTGGGGCTTTCCTTTATGAAAACCTTTTTATTTAATCCTAAAATTGTTTTGGAAGTATGGTGACCTTCAGTATGCACAGAAATATGATTACCTTCTGTTCAAATCTCTCAAGGTTTGGGGCTTGCAAACAAAACGTATAGAATAGGGAAGCTTGAAATGTGCAATAAGGTGGGTTCCTTCCTTGGGAAGCTGGCCTGAAAGGCAATATCAAGCAGTTCTCTTAGTAAGACTTAATGCTGCCCTTTTGTCTGGGTGGTGTCCATGCAAGTGCCCAGGTGTTTTTAATGGCTCAGTTTTTCAGATTGCAGGTGTGCAAGAGCTCATTTAGCTACAAGAAGTGTGTCTGGTTTGAGAGGTTTCCCAATCTTCCTACCTCTCAGCATGTAAAAAGAAAAAAAATGCTCTTCTATAACTCTGTATTGGTGCAAAACTTAAGTGCACAAATTCCATTTCCAAAGAGAACCTTTTCATGCTTTTCTTTCTTTCTTTCTTTTTTCTTTTCATCCTTGCCAAGAACAGACTATTCTGGTTTCTGGTACAGGTCTGGTTGAATTGATATGAAGGAAGAATATTTTATACTAGCTATTTCTCTAACAATCATCTTCACAAGGTAGACACTAAAAGGAAAAAGTACTACAGGATCATTGGGCCCATCCACTCTGAGGTTGGAAAGTTCAATTAAGTTGCAAGTTTTGTTTCAGAGTCCTTAATTATTGCATTTTTTGTTATGAATCCCTTGCAGGCAATCCTTTATCACAGGATATTCTCAGTCTGTACCAGGACCCAGATGGAACACGTAAGCTACTGAACTACATGCTTGACAATCTAGCAGGTAACAAAGCCAGAAGTTTACTAGTCCTAATGAGCTCCAGAACGCTTTCACTGTTCTTGTATTTAATCCCATTAATTTAAGGTCTGCATTGATTCCCTTCTGACTGCTTTTTACTGTCTGTGTACTGCCATGAAATAAATACAGGCTTGTAGCATTGTATCAACCAGTGGTAGAGGATAAAGAAATATCTTTATCAGGATAGCCCTGGCTTTGTTCTGGGATATGCGGCCCTTTTCACCTGGATTTCTAGTTTTTTGTTTGTGGGTTTGTGTGTTAATCCAGTGGTGATAGAGACAAAAGGGTACAGCTTTTCCAAAGCAGTTTGTGTGTGTGCATGTATGCACAAGCACACATGTCTGAGAGAAGTGGGTGAAACAACATATGATTCCCTAAATTCTAATCTAAACTGGCAGTGTTGTTGATCATCACCAAATGGCCCAGGATTAAATTGATTGAGGAATGAAGCTAACGTTTCGCTCGGACGTCCCTGTACCAAACCTGGATGACACCGGGAAAAGCTTGCCGAGTCACTCTCCTGGCTTTATAACTAGAGGTGCGCCAATAAAACCGTCTGATACCAGATCAGTACCAATATAAAGAAAATAGGCTGTATCAGAAATCGGCCTGATGCGGCCAATAATTTGGCTGATCAGTGCTTGTGCATGTGTGCAGCTGCAGTGCAGCACTCAGGTAGTGAAAAGCACAGCTGGCAGCATGGAGAGCTGCATGCAGTTGGTAAATCTGTTGTGGTGGAAGGGGAGGGAAGGGGTGCCAGCAGATCAATGCCCCCTGTAGTGAGGGAGGGGGTAGGAGCAGGTGCTACCCAGCTGGGGTGGGGCAGGGCATGGGACAGCTGTGGGAGGAGCATGTGCCCCTGGATCTGAGCAGGGTGTGGCGTCCTGCAGCTGTGGGCTGGAGCTGGGACTGTGCCAGGCTGGGCTCAAGGCAGGGGCTACAAAGGGGATGCAGCCACCCCAGATTTTGTCATATCCCTGCTCCCAGCACTGCCGTTGCCACCCACCTGGCAGAGCCCTGGCTCAATGCCCCACCTCCACCCACACACTGAGGAAGAGTCAGGGCTGCGTTGGGTGGGCATCAGCTGGGAGCAGGGCTACAGTGAAATCTGGAGTAGTTGCAGCCCTTTCTGTAGCCCCTGCCCTGAGCCCAGCCCCCACAGAGAAGATCATGGCGCAGCCTCAGCTCCAGCCTGTGGTTGCAGCCCAGCCACCCTGACCCACGCAGGTCCAGGACACATGCCTCCCATGCCCTCTGGGGTCCATGTAATGGCATGAGCTGTAGCTCCATCCTGTGCCCTGCCCTGGCTGGGCAGCACCTTCTTCTGCTCCCTCCCTCACCACAGGGGGTGCTGATCTGCCCCCCTCATACCTCTTACCTCCCCCCTCCCCTTCCACCACAGTGAACTTACCAGCTGCATGCAGCTGTATTGGAAATCAGATCAGTATTGCCCAATATAGATTTCTGGGGTCAGAAGGGACCTAGTAGGTCATTGAGTTCACCCCCTGTCCCAGGCAGGAAAGAGCACTGGGGTTAAGTAACCCCAGCCAGGTGCGTGTCCAGTCCCTCTTCTTGAGTACCTCCAAGGTAGGGGAGAGAACCACCTCCCTTGGAAGCCCATTCTGTATTTTGGCAACCCTCACGGTAAAGAATTTCTTCCTGATATTCAATCTAAATCTGCTCTTCAGTCTGTGGCCATTATTTGTAGTAACCTGGAGGGGTGCCCTGGTAAACAGAGTATCTCCTATTCCCTGCTGACCCCCCTTGCCCCTGCCCCCCTGATGAGCTTATAGACAGCCACAAGATCACCTCTCAGCCTTCTCTTGCAGAGGCTGAAGAGATTCAGGTCCCTCAGTCTGTCTTCATAGGATCTTACCTGCAGATCCTCAACAATACAAGTAGCCCTCCTCTGAACCCTCCCAAGGTTATCCACATCCCTCTTGAAGTGCAGCGCCCAAAACTGGACGCAGTACTCCAGCTGCGGTCTCACCAATGCTACGTAGAGAGGAAAGTATCACCTCCCTAGACCTGCTTGCCATGCACCTACTAATGCAAGAAAGAGTGCAGTTAGCTTTACTTACCTCATCACATTGGTGGCTTGTTCATTTTTGCGTTGACTATGACTCCGAGATCCCTTTCCACTGCCGTGGTACTCAGAATGATACTTCCAAGTCTATAGTTGTATTGGAGATTCTTTCTCCCCAGGTACAGCACCTTGCACTTATCCTTGTTAAATTGCATCCTGTTCTGATCTGCCCCCTTCCCCAGCGTATGCAAATCCACCTGCATTTGCTCCCTGCCTTCCAGTGTGTTTGCTATAGTTTGGTGTCATCTGCGAATTTGGGCAGAGTGCTTTGAACACCCTTGTTCAAATCACTGATGAAGATATTGAACAGTACTGGTCCAAGGAGAGAGTCTTGGGGGACACTACTGCCCACATCTCTCCAGGGGGAAACTGACCCATCCACCACCACTCTCTGGGTGCATCACATAAGCCAATTTTTCACCCATGTTACTGTGAAAAAATCCGCTTCACAGCTACTCAGTTTGCTTGTGAGAATTGGGTGCAACACTGTCTTTTTTTAAAATCCAAGTAAATAATGTTTATGTCCACTCTTGCATCTAAGCAATATGCCTCCTTAAAAATCGGCTATCAGTATGGGCCTCCAAAATCTCTCAGTGCACCCCTTATTTATAACCTGTTTTTAAAGTAGAGGACATCTAGTTTCCAGTGCTTTCTTTTGATACTTTTTCACAAGTATGAGGGCGATTTTGCCAGCAGCTTGGTTCAGTTGCCTATCAGCTTCAGTCTAGAAATCCCTCTTGAATAAAAGAGCTCCAAACAGTGGTGTTTAATTGTCTATTGATTTATAGCAGTGCTTCCCCAACTTTTCTTCAGCATGACCCCATTTGGGGTTGCAACCCATAGTTTTGGAACTGCTAGTTTATAGTTTAGTCACTGCTTTACCATCAAAGAAATGTATAGGTCAAAAGGAATCCAACCCATAAACATTTTAAGCACAAATTGAAATTTTGGATGATTACTTAAAAAATGCATTTGACATTCACAAGAGACTTCCTGTCTGGAAGAAACGCTAAATAAAATTTTTAGTAAGTTTTCTCAGCTAATGTGTTCTTTAAATATTGGTGCCTTGATATGACTTGCTAGGGTTTTGCACTTCAAGGAATTGAATTATAAATCTTAAACAAATGAACCCAAAAGCAACCTCCTTTTGTCATTCATACCATGTATGCAGATGGATTATCTTGTGAGCAAGGTCCTAGAAGATAAATTTTAGTATCTAAACCTTAGCTGCTTGTAGATGTGGAAAAAAATCCAAACATGGCACTTGCTTTAAATTCGGCACACTCTCGCACCGAGCCCAGTGTGTGCCCCAAAGAGGCAGCAAGTTGGTTGCATCTGGCTTTCCCAACATCTGTAGAGATTGGGTGCCTTAGCAGGGCTTTTTTGGCACTTTTATTTAATAGCTGATTGAATCAGCATTAGCTAAAAGTGCCAAAAAGCCCCACTGAAGCACCCAATCTATATCGATCCTGTGGAGCAATGCTGAAATAATGCACTGCTGTTTCTGGTAGCGTGGGTTGTTTTTTTGTCTTGTTTTTGCTGTGTGTTTTTTTGTTTCTCCCCCTCCCCCCTATGACTGCCAGCACCCCAGATGACTGATTAAGCTTATTTTCTGAGAAGCAGTCTTACCTAACAGTAGAAAAGTTTCAGTAATGGTCTTATAAACTATTAAGATTAGTAAAGAAGTTCTAGGAGAAATCATGGGGGACCTATCTGATTGCTGAACTTGCTGCTTTCTTGAATTTGTGTTTTTGTGTCTTCTGAATGAGGTTTTACCCCCCCCATTTGTCTTTTTTCCTAAGCTTTAAATAGGTTGATGGATTTCATGTGAATGGGGTGTATCTTGTCTCTGGGTTACTGTAGCACAGTCTGAAACACTTGTTGAGGCATCAGTTTGGATTGTAAATTAAAATTATAATTTTTATATTGGTAAGTACTAAATTAATTGCTCTTCTGAATGTTTCAGTTCACCCAGAGCAGTTGCCTGCAAGGCCATGGATTACTTTAAAAGAACGAGACCAAATTCTGCCCTCAGGTAACTTTGTGGCTATTCCTTTTTTCCTTTCTGCCAGTGCCTGCTTTATATTTTGAAATGCGCCTCAGACACCTTTAGGTTTAGTATTTTAGGCTCTTGTTGTAAAAATGCCGTAACAGTCTACTGTTAATTGACATGTGTTCCCAGTGTGCTGGGCACTTTTAATTAGTATGACTCTCTAATTAAAGGGCCTGTTTGTCGCATGTATCAGTGTTGCCATATGTCCCTGCACTTTGAACTAAAACTCATCAGATGTGTTTTTATTTCAAAGCACGCCACTGCCATTTTGTCAGCATGGAGACACGTGGCGACACTGATGCATGTGACACGTGAAGCTGCTGGAGTGTGTTAATTTTCATGCTTTAGCCAACTCGATTGATTGAGTCTGTTCTGATGCACTGGATTTCCACCATGTCAGAGCAGGCTCCCTGCATGTGTATAGGAGCTCTCTATACAGAGAATTAAAAATGGCAAGTTATTCATGTAGATACAGTCTCTTCTTCACCTCTGTGCTGAAAATGCCTCTTGTCTGATTTTGTGGCATCAGTTCAGAAACAGATTGCAGTTTTTTCTCTACCTTTTGACTTGGTACTGAAACATTTATTTTCCAATGTTGGACTTGCTTCTTCTAAAAGTACCAGTCTGTTGACAGTTCAGATATGGCACCTCAACATCTAGCCCCTGGTGTTGCCATTGCATCCTCAGTTGACACATTCATGGCATGCACTGGACCAGCCCTGCACACATAGGGCCCAGAACATGAACTGCATGCAGTGCCCACCCCAGCCTGTCTGGGACATGTTACATGCAGCACCCTCTCCAGGACTACAAGTTTTATATGGCACTGGCACAGGGTTTGGGACCACACCTTCCCCCTCCTGCACCCCACGTGCTGGACCTAGCACCTGCTCTGGCTGTTCTGGGGACATGCCATGTGCAGTGCAGGTCTCAGAACCAGGGGCAGGATCCAGCATGTTGGGGGAGGGGAAGAATCTGGGCTCTATCTGGCCCACAGGACCAGCCCCATATTGTTCATCCCACCCATGAACTGGTCCCTTTCCACTCATCTGACCCTTGGGGCCAGATGAGTTTGATGCTCCTGAGGTAAGGCATCTACTCAATTCAACTCAAATTGACAAAGGAAAGGTGCTTTGGCTTATTTTTCAAAATTAGTGAGAAGCCCCCCCCCCCAATCACTCCTACTTGCATACAAATACCACACACATCTCTAGACTGGTGATAAATGCAGTTGTAAAGAACCCTCTGTGTTGGTTTCACTTTCCTTTCATTCCTCTCATCCCCTGGGGAGTTTAGCTACAATATAATGCATGCCATGCTTTGTAATTGAATCTTGGTGCCATCTGCTGCTGCTTATGCTAACCTGCAAGAAGCACCTTAAAAACCCCACATGCATGCTGTTTCTAGGCAGAGGACATTCTTTGCCACACTGCTTCCTTTTCCTGGTCCCTACTGTGTTCTTCTGAAAGCCTTCCAAAGTACAAGGCAGAACAACAATCTGTTACTATAGCAGGTGAAATTAATTTTGGACAAGTGTCATACCCAAAGCTATGCAAACATTTTTAAAAGCCCTGTGAAGTGCTAGGTCTTTGAAACTTAATACTGCACTAACATTTTTTTCTCTGTTCTCCTCTTCCCTGCTCACCTTTCTTTCCTTTGGCTGTAGTCTGGATTGCTTCTGTGTGTGTGTGTATGTGGCTTTTAACCAAAGATTCACATGCCATCATGGGGTTTTGTTTCCTTTTGTTATCTTCCAAGCCAAATTTGTGCCGATTTATGGGTGAGCAGATGACACTGAGGATCAGCTGGTGCTACAAATATGTTGATTTGAGAAATCAAGCTGTGTTCTTCCTGCTGCTTTGTGGCCAGAATATAGGAGCCCTTATCTAGCATTCTTGGCTGAGCAAGCACCAGTGTGAGGAACTGTATAGGAAAAAATTGAATGGACCATCAGAGCAAAAATTCAATAACTAATCAGGGAAACCAAAACAAAAAAACCTCTATTCTGTACTGTGCTTACTTGACCTGTTAAATTGCTGAATACTGTTACTTTGCACATTCTGTTGTTTTTTAACTGCATTCCTACATAATGGTCTTTAATATTGTTTGCAAGTAGCATCAGCCCAAAAGCTGGGAACAAATAGGAGTAAGGTCAGTCAGAATTTTTAGTGCTAGGGACAGACATTCAAAAAGCCTGAGCCTGAATTGATTCAGTCTTTGCAGGATAGTCTAACTTGGCTAGGCTGAACCAGTTTTGTAACCAGACATACGTCGCAGAAATGCAGGCACATGCCTGCAGTGGCTCAGGCTAGAGGCAAAGGGTGCTAGAGCAGCTCTCCCTTCCCTTCAGTAGGGCTGAGCTGAGGGAAGCGTGGCCAGGCCCTAGCAGGACACTCTGATTATTCTCTCCTCTCCTAAGCAGCAGAGCAGGGAATATTTATCACCCCTAACTCAGTGTTTATCAACCCATTAAGAAAACAAAGCCTCTCTCCATTAACTAATGGAGCTCTTCTTAAACAGCTCTGCCAAGGAAGGACATTAAGCTCCCTGGTGATAAGGTCCAAAAAGCTTGTCTGCCTGTCATCTCCCACAGCATGGACCTTAGCCAGCATGTGGTCTGCTAGCTAATGCTGAGGTGTCTGCGTAAGGCAGAGGGGCGGAGGTAATAATCCTTGGTTAGCAGGGAGAAGCCAGGCAAATGCTCTGTGCCTGCAGGTCTCTGCTGGAGCTCTGGCCAGGGAGCAGAGGGGCGGGGGCAAGCCTTGCTGTGGAGCAGAGAGCCCCACTCAGCACAGTGAGCATGCCGGGATGCTGGGGGTGTCTGGTTTATCTTAAGCCAGCGAGGGGTTTGGGATAGATATTGCATAAATCAGTTTGACCCAAATCAGTTAAGTCTGATGCTACATTCAACCACATTTATCTCAAACCGGTTTCAGCTGTTTTCAAACTGGTTTGTATGCATTGAACATCTGTTCTGTTACAGGCTTAAACAGGTTACAGGTTTCTGATCACTTAAACTGGTTTATATGTAATGTCTGTCCCTAACCTTGGTGTCTAAAATAATGTCACTAGGTAGGATTCTCTAGTGGGTAAATTTTGTGTGTTAAAACAAAAACCCCTTTCGTTTAGACTGACACATGACTTTGCAAATAATATGCAGTATTGTATTTCGAAAGAATACTGTAGTTTTAGATGCATAATAATCAGAGACACAAAAATATCTGAAAATTTAAGTCTGGCAATGTTTCCATTAAGGTCTCTAGTTTCCAGTAAGGTTTTACACTGTGGTGTCCTTCCGCCCCCCCCACCCCCCATCTCCTTGTAATTCTCCACAATATGGAATATTAATAATATTTTCTCCACAGAGATATTTGCAGTATCTGCTCTATTTAGGCTATGCAGGGTGTGGCTACATCAACTTCCTAGTCTTTGTTATCGAGTCCTCATTTATTAAGATACAACAAATAGAGCTGTTTTTGATGATTGCTGCTTTTGGTCTTGTTTTATGAAACTTTCATGAATATGCTACTGAGATTTTTCTGCGCCTGCAAAAGAAACCCACATATTAGCCTGCATTTAGGCTTAACAATTGTTGCACTAAGAAGTAATTCTTAAGAATGGCGTTTTGGTCTCTTTCTACCCTTTGTGCTCTTTGTTTTCAATGAACACTATTAACACTTTCTCCACTTCTGTGAAAATTTTTCTTCTTGTTCCATGTCTAAATTTAAACATGAAAGCATGAGAGATCTTCTTGTTATTTTTTAAGCTTAAAGTGTTGCTGTATCCTCAAATGTTGCTTCAAGTCTAAAACATCTGATTTCATTTTTTTTCCTCTTTAGTCCCAATGAGCTTATAGCATAAGAGAGGGAAAATAAATCTGCTGGTTCATTAGGAATAAAAATATCTGCTTCGGTATCTTTATAGCCAATTTCTTGCTGAGAACCAATAAGATTCAGAGCAGTAATGCTTTGGAAAGTGGCATACAGTGTTTATAATATATCAGTACACATACTTTCATTGGGTACCAAGGAATATTGTCAAAACATTTTGCAAATACTCTGACAAATTGCTTTTATGATGCTATATAATTATATGGGTTTAAACCTGAAGCTGTCATTTCAGGGTAGCAGCAGCCATAAATATCAGGTCTTTGGCTCAATTAGCAATCGTTACAGCTCTAGCCTTTCCTTTTTCCCAAACAGAAATCCAGCACAGATTTTTTGGATATTGATGAGCAACAAAATGGCTATATAGGGACCCAGTTGTCTTTGTCAGTTGCACCTGTAACAGCTGCTGAAGTTGGTGGGGGGTTGTAAGTGCTTGCAACTGAGCTAATCCAGTCTTTGTATTTCATTTTAATTATTCTCAGGCTTTAGTGTGTACAAGACTGGTAACTGCTCGGCACAGCTCAGCAGACTGACCACAAATTCTACTAGCCGTTACTCTTTGTGCAAGCAAAAGTATATGTTGTACATCCAAGCTAGATCCTTTTTTCAAAGTTTAACTTTGTGTGCCAGTAACAAAGTTTTGAAGGATTCTTATGACACTGGTTAGTGAAACTCTGGGAGAAAAAACCTAGCGACTTACTTGAAACGCTTTCTTAACTTCAAGTAAAGAAACATGCAAAAATATGGTAGGATTAGTCTCTCAGTAAGTTTTTATTATTTTCCCCTCAACCTTCATAAATAATATTCCCACCTTATGTTTCCTCCTAGCTTCATTCACAGTTATGTGTTACAATGTATTGTGTGATAAATATGCCACCCGGCAGCTATATGGCTACTGCCCATCCTGGGCATTAAATTGGGAGTATAGGAAAAAGGGAATCATGGAAGAAATCGTGCATTGTGATGCAGATATCATTAGTCTTCAGGTAAATGTAACCACTTTTTTGGCTTTCATTTTAAAATGGAGGAGCAGTTCATTTGTGTATTTTGGACCTATATTGTATTCACAGCATTGTTCTCTATCTGTTTAACAAAACATTTACCATTACAAAATATATACGTAGCTTATTCATATTTTGTTCCTGTTCATTAACTATGTTAAACAACTGAGGCAAAATTAGAAAATCTAATCATAACTTTACACTGGAAATTCTATATTAGAGAACAAATTAACTCCTTGTTGATGATTTGCACAGTAATGGATTTGGCTGAGAAGCAGCAACAGCTTTATGTTTGGAAGAAGTGTGTTGTTAAATTAATCTGCTATAATGCTTGTCCTGTGCAGTAACTATTCATGTTAAACACATGCCTGAAGGTGTTCTTCTGAAATCAAGGGAACCATTGATATGCTTGAAGTTAAGCATTTGTGCCAGATTTGTGTCTGTGTTCCCAACTCAGTTGTAGGTGTTCATCTTAAATGTTCGGTGTGGTTAGCTGGCTATTGCTGCTTTAAAAATGTCCTCAGCTTCACTTTGAAACCACTCTGAAACCACTTTGAAACCACTCTGAAACTAGCTCTGCTAGTTGTGCAGGAAAAAAAAATCACAAGAAGAAAATGACTGTCTTGTTCTGTAAAAGCTTAAGCTAAGCCTAGTACCCAAGCAGTGTATTTCTGTGGAGATCAAACATTGTTATTGAACAGGGGAGATTTGCTACGAGTTCAAAAAGCTCAGCATTAATGGCTGCTGGATATCTAAATCTGACACACAAACCTAGGATAGTATCCTCTTTCAGATGTCAAAAACAGCTGACGATCTCCTATTTATACCCAAAATACACCTGTTACTTTCCTTTCTTTTGTAATTCCTTTTACTTTTGATGTGCATGAATCCAAATACGTTCCATCCATCTGACAACTAATATAATGTGATATGATGTGGTCTCTGTAAGCAATATAAATCTAGTTTTGGCATAAATTACTCAATGAAATATATTTTCATCTCAGGGGGAGGGGTATGGTTGAGGGGATGTTCATACTAATAATCTGTTGATTTTTCTTCATTGTAATGTTAATTGTTTTCAATTCCAGGAAGTGGAAACAGAGCAATACTTCACCCTCTTTCTGCCAGCATTAAAAGAGCGTGGATATGATGGATTTTTCTCTCCAAAGTCACGTGCCAAAATCATGTCTGAGCAGGAGAAAAAGCATGTGGATGGCTGTGCAATATTCTTCAAGACAGAAAAGTAAGGGAGCCAAGCAACTTCATCCACAAGCAAAACATAAGGAATAAAACAGTGGCACTCAAAACATTGATGTTGGATTTGGGGAGGGAAAGTGTTTTTTGCAAGAGGAGTGGCAGTCAAGTTAGTATGCTATTAAACAAAATACTGAGATTGCTGCAGAGTGCTTCACTTGATTTTCAGACTGCAGGAGGAAGAAAGGGGGAGGGCAGAGGGCAAGGCCCCCCCCCCGGTCCTGACCCCCCAGTCACTGCTTTCTCTGCTGTAGCATTGGGGTGGGATTCCAAACAACCCTCCAATACTTAGATTCTGTACCCGAAATATGAAATTTATAAATTTGTTATAATATATTTAGAATCTAATTATTGGGGCTTGTCTTTATATTTAAGTAAATACAGTAGCTTAGTTGCCATTAACATAGACTTTTTCCGTGGCATGTAAAAGAGATCGAATGTCTTCTCCGTGGCTGTATTTGAGTCAGCCAGCCAATTTGGTATGACTTAAGAGGTTCACCCACTTAAATTCTTAGAAAGGCAAGGGAATTTTTTTATAAGAATGAGAAAATGGGTGGAGGTAAGGATAACTCTTGTACCTCTTGCACAAAGAAGCCCCAAATGAGATTGGGCCCTAAGGAACGTGGCTGTGAAAAAATGTCTTAAACTTCAGTAAGTGTATAATGCAGCTGTGCGCTAAATGACCATGTTGGACATTCTTACACGTGCTTGTGTGTTTACACAGATTCACATTGGTGCAGAAGCACACTGTGGAGTTCAACCAGGTAGCAATGGCCAATTCTGAAGGTTCAGAAGCTATGCTAAATAGAGTCATGACAAAGGACAACATTGGAGTTGCTGTGGTGCTAGAAGTGCACAAAGAATTATTTGCAACAGGTATGTATGACAACTGCTTTCCTTCAGATTGAGAAGGGCAGGGTCCTGTTAGAGGTGGGAATGACTTCTATTTTATTAAATTGTGTAGAGTATGCCTTCATATGACTGCTCCTTAAATATTTGGAATGGGACACCATAGAGTTAGCTACTCTGATGATAATTCCTACAAAACTGGAAACCTCTTCCCTGAGATAGAAGACACAAGTTGACTTTTAAAAATTGGTGTTTTCTGTTAGCTGCTTAACCTGAATGTTGGTTACAATTGGTATTCTCCTCTCAAGTCCATCTTACTACCTGTTTTTGAGTTCCATTTCCCCCCTATTTATTGAACATACTTCCTCAGGCAGGTGTGTCCATGTAAAAAAACCTCCTTCTGCCAAGGAGGTGCTGTTGCTCAGCTTTTCATTCTGAGACCTCATCTTTCTTTCTATTTAGTGTTTTACTTCTCTCTGTCTAACATCTCCAGTGGGTGGTACTGAATAACTCACTGGAAAGGAACTAGGTTCAAACAGCCTTTCATGAAGGATGACTAGTGAGTGAAATTGCTTAAAAAGCATTCACATCTATGACTTTGTCACCGTCAGTGTTCTGGGATTTTTAATATAGCCCTGGAATGAGTAAATTTCTTTATGAAACTATCTCCTAGCTGGTCACCAGTTTCCCCAGTCTTGAACAAATAGTAGCCTTGGCTTCACTGTTGCTACAATAGGACTTTATATGACTAGGGAAAGGCCCAAATCCGATTAGAAAACAATTTTTTACAAGAAAGAAAGGCAGAAATTCTCCGTCTAACACTTTAAACAATGAGTAGTGGTGGCATTTATATTTTTAGGTGGCTTTTTTTGCCTTAAATTGTATCCTATTAAGAGAACCTGAAACTCATCCAGATCCTATAGCACCTAGGAGGGAGTAAACCTACTGCAGTGAGTTAAAACTGTCTAGTATGTGGTAGTAGAGGTGGAATATTTTAAAAATAGTTTAACAGTAGGGGTCAATGTCCTTAGAATAAAGTTTCGCTGAAGTGTATTCCAGAGATAGTATCTTCTTTTATAGAAGCAGTGCTGTCATTTTATCACTGTAGTTGTTTTGTGTTCTTACCTGTTATTGTTACCAAGTCACATAACGATACCAGTGTTTGAAGGATGTAGCTTGACTTAGCAATTGACACTTAATTTTAATATCCTTGAAAGGACTTGTAATTATATCAAATGAGAGAGTTAAAATTTGCCCCTTTACCTTTTGAAAAGTTCATATTTGAGATCTGTAAGCAAATAATAGAATGTGTTGCGTCTCTGAGAAAAACTTCTTCAGTAGAAGTAAGAGGTTCTCCATTCACTAATTTGTCAACTTCCAGCTAATAACCGTGCAAAGTTTAACATATCTGTTGCATATGGAAAGGGAATTCATTACATTCATGTAACCAATATGTTTGTACCAATTGTGTTTATCTAGGTATAAAGGCTCTTCATGCTGTGGACAGACAGCTACTTATTGTGGCAAATGCCCACATGCACTGGGACCCTGAATACTCAGATGTGAAACTCATTCAGACTATGATGTTTGTCTCAGAACTGAAAAATATCCTTGAGAGAGCCTCTAGCAGGCCTGGTAGCCCAACAGCAGATCCTAATTCTATTCCTCTGGTGCTGTGTGCGGATCTTAATTCCTTGCCTGATTCAGGTATTTAGAAATGGCTTCTTTTTGATTTTACTCTTTTTACTAGAAGGTGGCTTTTGGGTCATCTTTCCACCCAAGATGTTTGGTGTGTTTGTACCTCATCACTTACTGATAAAATCTTTTAGTGGCAAAAAGCTGTTATTGGTTTTGGAAGTCTGTATCAAGTTCTATAACTCCATTAGAATAATCTTTCATGATTACATGAACTACTGTAGTATTTGCTGTGCTTTTAAAAAAATGGTAAGAATTCTGGAGTATAGTGCATCAAACCTCTAGCATTGGTATATTTAAATACAAGTTTAGATATAGTAGTAATCTTGTATAAAATTGTGGTACATTTGTCAAAATGAATGCTTGAGGAATGGAAATAGTTAAGAATAAATTTATGGTTTGTTGCACTTGGGGGTGGGAAAATAAAATGAGTGAAATGAATGGATATGCTATAGTCTTTTTGATGCTTAGTTGCACAAAAATACTTGCTGGCTGCCACCATACTGATTGATTTTTTTTTTTTTTTTTTTTTTCATCTTAAGCTTTTTTTAATATCCCTGTCCAAAGCTGTTGGAGAGCCTTTTGATCAGCTAATAAGAAGTTCCTACGTTTCCCAGAGAGACTGGAGGGAGGAGGGGAAAAAATCCCTGGCTGTCAGATATATCTGTACTTAGACTACAAAGATAAGAAAGATCTTTGTGTGGTGTGGTACAGTTCAATAGTGATTTAAAGCAACTAATTGAATCTTTATTTTGAAAACAGGTGTTGTGGAATACTTAAGCAATGGTATAGTAGCTGACAACCATAAGGACTTCAAAGAGTTGCGTTACAATGAGTGTCTCATGAACTTCAGTGGTAATGGAAAAAATGGAGCTTCTGAAGGAAGAATCACACATGGCTTCCAGCTCAAGAGCGCCTATGAAAACAACTTGATGCCTTACACCAATTACACTTTTGATTTCAAAGTAAGTGGGTCAGTACAGTGCCTCACCAAAATTTCATGAGCTGTGTAGTGGAGCATGCCTTGTACTTAATGACAGCTATTTCTACGTCTGCTGTTGCAAAGGTTTTGTTCATATTTCCTTTAGATTTTTTTTCCAGAGTCTTCAAAAATGTTCAGTCATTTTGAATTGAGCCAAGTTTTTGGATCTTAATGATATCCAACGTCAGTGTAACAGTCTGTGTTGTGACTAAGTTACTTCATTGTGTAAGCCAGGGGTCAGCAACTCCCAGCATGCATGCCGAGCATGGCATGCAAGGCCATTTTGCTCGGCATGCCACCACCAGCCAGGCTTTAAGCAGCTTCTGCCAGCCACAGAGCCCAAGCTGCTCCCAGCAGGAAGCTGGGAGGCTGCAAGCCCTGCTGCAAGCAGACAGGGCTCCTTGGCCTGGCTGCAAACAGCTGCTCCGGGCTCCAGCATGTCAGCGCTTGGGCACCTTCCAAAGTAGACATTGTGGGTTTTTTGGCACTCCGGCCAAAAAACGTTGCCTACCCTGGTATAGGCTTTGAATTTGCCATTTTTTAAATATGTTGAAAGTTCCCTGCCTCTTCATGTTTTAAGACTTAAGAAGACATGCTTCACATCTCTTCCATTTATTGTTCTGTCATGTTCACTTCCTTGCAAGGTAAGTATTCTTCATCTTTTTCAGTTTCCTTTTTTCCTTATGTCTGAAGCATTCTCTAATTCTGTAATACTTTTTTTTATATGATGTAGTGGTCAATATTGAGTGTAGTGTTCCAAAAGAAAGCAACACGTTGCCTTGCAACTTAATAGCATAATATTTTTCTAAATTACCCTGTTTCAAACTATTCTTAACTATATTTGCTTATGGGCTACAGATGCATTTGGCAGAAAAAAACCTTTTAAGCTGTTGACAACATTTTCTTACATCGTGAAGTTACTTGGAAGTCAGTAGTGTGTGTTAATATTTGAGATTCTTTTCCTGCCTCAATATGTGCTTACAATTTGTGTAGCAGATCTAGATTTTCACGTACCAGTCTTGCCCACATGATTCTCTCGGTTAGTACTTTTTTAAGTTCTTCTCACTCCTTTCTCAAGCTAGCTAACCTAAACTGTTTGTAGATAAGTCACCTTACTGTTTTGCCTCCTTTCACACTTTTGGGTATTCTATACTGAATTAAAACTAGTCTTTGTCTGGAACCATGTGGTGCCCTACTGTTAAATTTCTTCATGGCAAGAATTTAGCTGCTTAATCACCTCTTACAGAAGTAGAGCTAGTGAGGGCACCCACTACTAGGTCAGTGGTTCTCAGCTTGTCTGGACTTCAGGCAGTTCTCCATAACTCTTTTGAATTTAGTGGTACTCAATTTTAAAAACTAATTCATATATTACAGCAGCGGTTTTCAACCTGGAATCCCCTATGTCTAAGGGGTCTGTGAAAGATGACTGATCAATCAGAAATATGTGAATACCCCCACTTAGAATTCAAAGAGGTCTGCACCTCTATTTGAAACTTTTTAGGGGTCCTCAAGGGAAGAAAGGTTGAAAACCACTGTATTACAGCGCTTACCTCCTTGCAGAGGGGCTAGGCAGTGGCGGTAGGAGGTTGGCCAGCCAGGGATAAGCCTGAGTCTGTGCTTAGCTGTTTATCTCCTCATACTTAACCTACATCCTCCCACCTGGTGGCATCCTTCAAAGGGTCTGGCTCAACCCACTTGCCAGATATACATGACAGCAAGCCTTCCATCTGTGTTTCTTTGGATGACCCTTAGAGTTTAATCTTAAGTAAGGTATACTGGAAGCTCTCTAATCCTTGATTTAGCAGCTGTTTTTAATGTCGCCTTTTAAAGTTTTGCTAGAAACTCAATATGGTGTGTACCTTCAAATTGATAAATATCAATAAATTAACTCTGAGGCCTGAATTTCTGCTAATACGTTACTGGTAAAAAGTAGATTTGGGTCAGATCTCGCTTGACACCTTCTGGGGCAAACTTGCACGCAGTTAAATCACTTTTAGTATTGAATTACATTATTCTGACATTCATTGTTATCTACTTTCTCGTGATGCTGTGAACACCTTTTGTTACTTCCTGCTTCTGCTGTGCTTGCAGAAATTCTTGATTATACGTTGAATTTCATCTTAGTCCATCTAACTTCCATCTTTTATGTTATCTACTGTGGCTGTTCTGCTTTTGTCTTCCCTGAGCTTAGATTTGAAGTCTTGAATGATTACTTGAACCCTACTGATGATCTGTAATGGTTAAGATTATACCTCTTCTCCTGTTCAGCAGTACACAAGCTTGTTTGAGCCTGGTATTCCTTAGGAGATATTAGGAAAATCCTCAGGATTATATATTCTCTACTAGTGTTTCAGCCTCTCTTAGATTCTCTTGACTCCCTGCTTTTTTAAGCTTAAATGTTACTGTTTTGATACTGTCTTCCTTCCTTGATCATCACATTCGAGTGCAGTAGGATTGCCATTACTTGGCAGCTTATTATTCTCAAAAAGCTCTAATTTTTACCCCTGTTTAGGCACTAAATTGTTGCACAACTTATGCAGGATTGAGGAACCACAAGATCCATTGTGTGATCCCAGGTGACAGCAATGGGTCTGAACTAGTAAATGCTGTGTGTCAGTGAATTGTTTTTAAGCGCACTCTTCAGAGTCAATAATAAGATGACAGGTTTTGCGTGACCAATTAGCCTGTTGTGAATATGCTGTACATGTTGTACAGTTATGCCCAATAGTATTATTTTATTTTTAGAATCACTGCAACAATATTCGAACAGTGGTAGGCCTGTAGGTTTAACACTTCCTGCTAGTTAGTAACCACGTACAGGGCCTGGTATTCAAGACTTTCTTAGTGCTGATTTTTAGCCAGCTGGTTATTAACTTCTTGGAAATTCCTGTTTGGAAGATAGTTGTCACAATCGCATACTTTATATTCTTTATAGCTTTACACCTGATCAGTCAAAAAGCTTTATCATCATGTAAATGATACAGCAGCAGGTTCCCCCATCTTGTATACCAGACATTGCATTCCATAATTCCACCCTGCTAGAACTGTGCAGTCTCCACTATGTATTGTGCAATATGTGGTGCTTAATTGCTGCTCGTCTCCCTACAAACTGTGGAGAGGAGTTAACGAGTGTTGGATTTTTTTTGTGCTAAAATAAATCTGTGTTTGGAAAACTACACTAGGATGTGAGACTTGTTTTAACAAAATCTTTTTATTTTTGTTTTGTTTTTCTCTTCTTTCTCCTCTTTTTCTTTAGGGAGTAATTGACTACATTTTCTATTCCAACACTCATATGAACGTGCTTGGTGTCCTCGGGCCTTTGGATCCTCAGTGGCTGGTTGAGAACAACATCACTGGGTGTCCTCACCCTCACATCCCTTCAGACCACTTCTCACTGTTAACACACCTCGAACTCCACCCTCCACTCCTGCCTCTTGTCAACGGTGTTCACTTACCAAACAGGAGGTAGTGGAGCCCTGCCCCTTAGAGGGCTAGGACCTGTTGTTATGGACCTGTACAGTTGTAAATCAAAGTATGTAGGAGTGAAGTATGGCCAACCTTAAGCTGCTTCTTCAAGCTCCTTTCATTGTGTGTTTGATATGAGACTTTGCACATTTTGGTGCATATTGGTATCATTTGGCACTAGGGCTGGAACCAAAGTATTATTCCCTTTTCAGGTTTTTAATTTAATTTTAAAGCTGGCAAGCTTGTTTTGTTTCATTTGGAAACTGCATTTGTAAACAGACGTATCAGATTGAAAACTTGCATATTAATCTATCTAAAATGTAATGCTTTATTCCAAATTGTAGCAAAAAGAGCCATTTTTAAAAGGAAAATATGTAATACTTAAAACTGAATGAAAAGGACTTGTTTTGTAGGGCAAATAATTAAAAATACTAACTTTTTCTGGACTCAGAGATATGTGTGCTGCACCCAAAACAAATTTTGCACATCAGCAAAGCACTTAATGTTGACTGTAAATTATTAACAGTGTAGCCCTCCCCTTCTCCCCATCTAGCTAATGTTGAAAAACCAAAGACAGTTGCATATATCTATTGAAATTTGAGGGCTAAATTATCTCCTGATGTATCTCCATTCACTACGATGGAAATATGCCATCAGAGCAATTAGATCTAAGCATTTAAAGCTGTATAAAACTCTCTTGCTTGGCAGACATATTGGTAATTTACTCGGAACTCTGAAGAACATAAATCTTTTATTTTTCTGACTAAGAAATGTATCAATCCAAACTCTATTAAACAGTCATCTTAGACAAACCAAGGCAGGAAGCTGTTCAGCAACATAGCATGGGAACAGGACTTTAGAAACAAAGTTAAGAAATTGCATTTAAAAATTGTTGCAAGAATTTTTTGAGTTGTGATCTGCAAGAGCAAATTTGTTCCAACCCTATCTTTGGGTCTCCTTTTGGAAAGTTAAGTTGCAAAGATGGATTGGATGCAACTGGTCAAACTAGGGGTACAGGAAAAACAACTCTGGAAATGATCTTACTTCTGTCTCCAACAGGCATGTTAAATAACTGTCTAGGTGTTTTTATGTGTGTGGGGGAGGAGAGAGTGGTAGCCATCGTCATTCCTTGGATTATTTTTCCTGACCCTAGTTGCCAAATAGCCATCATATGCTTTTAATAATCGTTGTTTCTCTTTGTTGGTTAGGGTTGAATTAAAAAGCTACTGGTTCATTCCCAGCTGTTAATGTTCTCAAGTTGTGTTGGACTCTTTTCTTTTATGCTCTAGGTGGCCAGTTCAAAACTTTGTGCCTCAAGAGGCAGTAAACATAATGCAGTTTTCTGAAAGAATTTAGTAGGCTGCTTTAAATGTTTAAAAAATGGCACAGTAATAAGAAAAGGTTGTGTCTGTGTTTTTAAGTTTTTCTTTATTCTGCTTTTTTGCTGCTATAAGATTTTCTTGAATTTATATTTTAAACTTTTCATGCACTTTACTGTTTCTAGTCTCAAAATGTAATATTTTTAATAAATAAGAATTTTTTCCATTATGTGAATGAAATTTTTAAACAGATTGATAGCCTATATTTGTCTCATTCATATATTTAAAAAATCAAATTTAAATTGTTAAATTAGTTTTAAATACTAAGGAGCCATCTTCTGTCTTGCGAAACTGATATTTTAGGCTGTTCCACCATTCTTTAATTAATATTCCTTTTGTCATTTTTATATACAGGAAGTCATCCATAGAAAATCAATTGGGCTAGAGTAGAAAATCTATCCTGATTTTTGTTTTGCTGGGAGGGCGGGATAGCGGGGGATATAATGATTGGTTTGGCAGAACCACAACTCCCGTTCAGAAGTGCCTAAAAATGGAGGCATCCTCTATTGTCTAATATAAATTGGACATTTACTGTAGCTGAGTGAAATTAATGTAAATAATGTCTTTTTGTGCAACACCAAAAAAAAAAAATCTTTTAAAGATGGATTTTCCTCAAGGTGCAGGTATCTTTTTATATACCTCAGTGTTCAACACCCTGCTAGGCTTATAAATTGAAAAAGTAATTAGAGTATAGTACTAGAAAGTAGAATAGCATGAAAAACTTAATTTTGTGGACATTACCTTTTTGTAATCAGCTACTGTATCTCTTTGGAGGGGTGGGTTCTCTGCTCTGGAGGTATGCACTAACAAACCATTTTCCTCCTTTCATACATGCATGTTAACTAGCAATGTGAGCAATATTTCCTACCATACTTCACTCCCAATATTTTTGAGATGTTTGTATAAAACGGAATTTAAAGTTCACCTATGATTGTATATGATCTGCAGAGGAGCCCGTTTATTAATAATAATAAAATAATCTTTTGTAATGTTCGGGAGGGAATAAATTGGGAAACATTGTAAACAGCTTAGGTTTATTTTTTTTTAATTTTCTTTTGATTTATAATTAAGTGAGGCGATCTGTTGCAGGAAGGTGTTTAATTGGGTTTTCTCTGCTTCTAAATGCACTCTTCAGAACGTCCATAATCCTGTGTAATTTTTAAGACTTGTTCTGTTTGATAGATGTTGCACAAAGCCTCTTATGTGAAAATGAGTGTTTGTGTTTCAGTTGGCACACACTTGGGGCGTGTTTACCCAAATTTTACATGTTCTTCCCCCTGCCACTTTTCTCATACATTCTGCTCCCCACTGCCCTGCTGTTTTTCCAAAAACAAGGAGCACTACCTTTTATTGAGCTTCTATTTCAGGTGATCAGAAATGCTGCTACCTTTTAATGATTTTGTTTTCATTTGTGGTTTTTAACATACAAGTAATCTGGAACACTATCAGTAATAAACTGAACAGACTAAAGGCGAGCAACATTTTTGAACAAAAGCACATGTATCATACACATGTTAGCACACATGTCAGTGTGTGTTATGGATGGAGACTCCTGGCTTACAAAGTCAAGGACTTGAGCAGTTTTGAATGTGCAAATCTTTAATTAAGCTTTTTTTTTTGGTAGTGGAAGGGGGAGGGAAGGAAACTCTGGAAAGTTGAGGTACCACAGTTGTTCACAATAAATAGATGGGCACCTAAATATACTGGGCACTGATCCTAGTCTCCTAACTTTAAACATTGCGACTACTGCAGCATCCTCAGGACTGATAACTAGAAAAAAGTTCAAATTCGTATAGTGCTCCTTGCTTAGTTTGTTTTCAAAATATTGTGCCTGGTGTCGACTTCAAAGCAACAGCACTGCCTAAAGCAGAGAAAAAAAAATCTAACACCATTCTACAAGCAACTTTTTAAAATTCGGTATGGTAAATCTGTTAGATACGGGGTTTTGTGTGTGTGTGTGTGTATATAAAAATGAGAATTTTTGTACGATGTACCTGAATATTTTTGTTTCATTTATTTTGATGTAAAGTGTGAACATTTTGCATACCACATGTTGAAGTCAGGTATGGCACAATGGGTTCTGAGACCAGCTTTTCCCATTTGCCTTGTTTAAAGCTATGTCTTTTCTTCAGTTTCTTGCATTCATCAAATACTTCATTTCACCAAGAAGCTTACTTTGTGCGTTTTGAAGCCACTCTTGTTTCTAATCTGGAGAAGCATTAAACTGTATTTCTTGTTAGTCCCAGCTCCTTGATTCCTCTGTTTATAGACTATGGCCACAGTCTTCAAACTTATACATTTTTCAAAAGGGCTTAATGCTAGTACTACTCCCACAATTTCCCAATTGACTTCACTGGGGACAATGTTGAGCCAGTGCTGAGAAAATCTGAAAATCTCCCAGCCTGCTTGCTTTTTAAGTCTGATTCCTAAACTGAAGTTCAGACATTTAAATTACTACTAGCCTGGTGTGCAAAGGTGCTGAGTACCTGTGGCTTAGGTTTACTTAAGAATTTCTGACAATCAGGCCATCTATAGTTTTGGTGTTTGTTGTATATGACTTTAGGAGCCCTACTTTCAGCACCTGGTTCTGAAGGCTTTGGTCTAATTTACCAAGGAGTAGACTACGATATAAAAGGCTCATATCACTTGATTCCATGGGGACTACATTTTTGGTTGGTGGGGGGTTACAGGTGTGGACTATGGAGAGGAGAAAAACTATAATTTTTAAAAAGAAATTAAAGGTTACTTCGTGTTTTAACTATAATAAGTTATGTGAGGAAACCATTCTTTTACTTGCCCACTTAAATAGTTTTAAGACTTCTAAATCACTTGTGCATTATTAATATTCTCCCAGTAGTAAACTGAGAAGAAGTAGTGGGCAGTTATTAACACCTCTCCTTTCTTTGTTTCTTTTTTAAAGGTCAGATTTAAACCCTACAACAGAACTGTTTCCATTCTAAATCTAGGCTTCCAGCATCAAAAATTCAGCATGAAACTTGGCGTATGAGATCTGAGTGAAAGGATTTTTTAATACTAATTGTCCATAAAAATGATAGGCTGCAATATAAACATGAAAGGATTAGTTTGCAATCTTGAATTTTATGCAACTCCTGTAACAAATGGAGTTGTTATAGCAATATTAAACTTTAAACAGGAATTGTTTTAAATGGCCTGAGTAGTATATATAATCCTACAGGTAGTAACTTTCCAGATTTTTCTGAAGTTAGTTCTCATTAGCAAGGAATACCTACATAAAAATAGATGTCATAACATTTTAGGATTACCTTTTAGAATGACTCTTTTCCCTTCTGTATGGGGAAAATTGAGCTGAAACATATTGAGACATCAATAATGGCTAAACATTATAAAGAAAGAAGTCATCTGCTTCTGTGTAGTTATATTCTTTATTTGACCTGGTTATTTTTTCCCCCCAGTGTTTCAATAGAATATGCTGTGTAAGTCTTCCTAAATATTTTGAAATTTTGGAATATTTAACATACAGCATAAGTTAAGGAGTTAATAACAACATAGTTATTACATATGTGTATTATATATTATAATACATATTTTGAGGTCTGATTTTTTTTTTGCTTTTTAGCAACCTTCATAAAATGAATTGCCGAACAGAAAATGAAGTAACATTGAATAAGATTCTGGTCCCACTGAAGCTGATGAAAGCATTGTCATTGACCTTTAGACCAATAGTTTCATCCCTAGTGTCTAGTGTCTTCACAACTATCACTACTGCTGAAAATGTTAAAAGTGATTTAAAAGATCAGTGGTTGAATACATAGGGCTTCTGAATGAACTAATAATTTCTTTCCTGTTGAAGTGGTCTATCCAGAATAGTATGGAGGCAGAATGGCACAGGGAATCTTTAATATGCTAGTCTAGGAAAAGATGAAATTTTGGGGTGGGGCTTTTTCTGTTTAATAATGTGGTAAGACCTGAACACTCTTCTGAAAGAGTACAGAGAAAACTCTTACTAAAACAATAAAATAAAATAACCCATTTATCAAATCATCTTATGCTAGGTGTCAGCCTAGAATTAACTTCTACAAATTATAAACAAATGAATATTGGACTTGCACATGTAGGTACCAGACAATGCTACAACTGATTAGGGACAAACATTTTTTTAAAAGCTGAACCCTAAATGTTGAATGCATTTGTATCCTGTGTAGTAGCGACCACATCTGGCACCAAGATGGATAATACTTGATTTTGTTTCAGAGTACCAGGGTAAGGAAAAGAGAGTGATGAAACTGAAGAGGCTGTGGGTGAGGTATTGAAAGCAACTGGAAAAATGACAATAAAATTACGACCTTTTAAAATAAGCTCTTGTTTAAAACAAATTTTACAGCATAATTTGACTCTAATGGATAATAAAGCATGATATCTAAATTACAGTTTAAGATTGGTTTGGTCTAAGGATGGCACACTTTAGGGATGCATATTCTTGGAGTATGTTCTGAAATAAGCTTGAAGTTGGGGAATGTATGTTTGTACTTCAAATTTGAATAATTCTGATGGCAAAACATGCCAAGTGATATGACTCTTGTCTTTTTTTGTTTTGCAAATAGTACAGCATGGTTTTTTTCCTTTTTTTAAGCTTGCAAAATCCTTCACTGCTGTAGTGGGGAAGGATGGTTATTCTGGTACTTGGTCTCATGTTTTTGTTAAACAGTTTCCAAGATATAGACAATTTAACGAGTTTGCATTTGTCTGTATTTGTCTTTGTTCTTAATCAAAGAATCATGGTGGCTCTCTTTACAAGTGTTGTTGTTTATTTTGGCTTTGGCTTCAATTTTTAATTAATGCATAGTGTGGTTTTTCCAAGCAATTAAAGTGTAGTGTGCACCATGTTAGCTAAACTTACCTGTAATTCACTAAACCCATACATTTGACTGGATCAGTGGTGATAAAAGCTCAGGCTTTGCTTTTGTTCACAATGGCAATATCTCTCTCCTAGGTACAGGAGACCCTGCCTCTGTCATCTGAAAACTGTAGTATAACTCTCTCTCCCCTCCTCTGTCTTCCTTTCTCTACAAATCTGCTGAAGTACCTTGTTTCCATTTTATGAAAACTCTACCTGTGCTCTGGAAAAGTTTCCGACTCCAGACTTAGCTCTGCATTTGGACAGCTAGAGTATTGCACACACAAACTTTGAATTAAGTGCCAATCCTGCTTCCACTGAAAGCTATGGCAACTTTGCCTTGACAACAGTGGGAGGCAGGTCAGGCTTATGGTCAGTGTTGGGCTGCAGATTTCTTAAACACTAGCCATTTGGGGAAAAATATCTTTTTTTTTTTTTTTTTTTTTT